GCGCGAGGAAGCGCCGGCCCCGAAGTTGGTCCCCCCCACGCCCCGCTTTTTCCCGGCCCGTACCCCCTTTCCTGTCCCTCCCGGCCCCTCAGCTCCCGGGGGACACCGCCGTGGACTTCAGGAGAACAACAGGAGAGTCGGGGATCCGCGCCCGGCGCGCACCCGAGCCCTGCACGCGTGAATGCCTCTGCTCGGGGTGACGGCTTGCATTTGGGGTGCCAGCCTTCGGGCCCTCTCAGGCGCCCAGGGGGGACCTCTGAGCACGGGTCGCAGCTGACGGCTGGAGGTGATGTGGACAGGGCGGGTGTGGGGTCCCTGGAGCTCCGCGGAGTTGGGGAAGTCGGAGGATAAGCACCCCCGCCCAGGTGCTGCTTAGGCCGGCTGTCCCCGCCTCCACTTCTTACAGCCTCGGACCGTGGAGTCTGGAGCCCTCGGTCCCCCACAAGTGACAGCTCCTGAGCCCCGGGGCGACTTGGCCCAGCCTGGGAGACCCCCGGCGGCGCGCACTCGGGGACCCCGGGGCTCCCGGTCCCGCACCTTCCACTCGGGAAAACCGGCCCCCACTGCCGCTCCACCTCTACCCGTGCTCCCGCCCGCCCCACGCTCGCGTCCCTTTCCCCTGCACATTCAGGACGTCCCGGCACAAACTTCAGCGCCAACTTTGCAGCGGCGCCTAGGGGAGGCTCGGCCTCCTCCTTCCAGGCCCGACAAACTTTGCGCAGCGAAGGAGGCGCGGCTGGGGGCCCGCGCGAGACCCCTGGGAGCGGCGCAGCCCGCTGCACCGTGCACAAACTTCAGCGCCAACTTTGCAGCGGCGCCTAGGGGAGGCTCGGCCTCCTCCTTCCAGGCCCGACAAACTTTGCGCAGCGAAGGAGGCGCGGCTGGGGTCCCGCGCGAGACCCCTGGGAGCGGCGCAGCCAGCGCTGCACCGGTATGGCCACCGTGGGCTGTGAGCGTGGCGTTTTGTCTCCAGACCTGGATCTTATGGGGAAACGACGTTTCGGAGAGGCTGGCGCTGGAAAGCATTGTAACATGGAGCTAATTGTTTTAGACAAAGGAGAGGGCGTGAAGCTTCCTGGAGGAGTGGAGTTCCGCGGGAGATCGTGCCTTTCGGTGGGCATGTGGCCCCAAAGCAGAAAGAGCGCAGAGTTTTCACGCTCCTCTCCTCGGTGTGGGCCAGACAGCTTCATCCTGTTACTGGAACCCTCACTCTCAGTGCACGCGCGCGCGCACACACACACATGCACCCTGGTTTGGCTTTTGTGTGCAGAAAGCCTGTTTAGCTACGCACAATCTCCATGTTTCCCTGTATTGGATTTTTCGAGGCTCTTAATACCTCGTCTGCTGGGAGCCCAAGGCAGCCCTCTGCCCTCGCAGTGATTATGCAGCGGTTACAATTACACCTCTTGTCTGGCTTGATGAGCAGTTGCAGTTAGATGCCATTGGATCTTGTGTGATTTCAGTGGCAGACCATAATTAAAATTTCTTGCACCTTGTGCTTTCAGAATTAAATTGGCCTATTATCCCTGCCTGACCTTCATCCTCTTTGAGGTTTTTGCACAAGCAGTGACCCATTACACACAGCTTCCTGGTGTTTGTTGGTGTGCCCTTTTTTCTTGTGCTGAAGCTGATCTCCTGGGTTTGGAGAGCTCTTTAACCGTGCTGTAGGTTCCTGGGGCGCCTCTGGAAGTAGAAGGATTTCTGGGATCTTATTACAGACAAGGAGGAGGGCCAAGGAGCCCTGCCAGGGGCTGCCGGCCATTGGAGGTGCTTTCTGGGCAGAAGAGTTGTTTGTTGAGAAAAGGGCTTGCCTGGAGTTCTAGAGGCAAAGGTTGCTTTTCCCATAGAACTTGATTTGTGTGCATAAGGGAAACCTCAAAGTCAGTGACAGGTCCCCCTCACTAATAAATTGTTTAGATCCAGCTTTCCTTGGAGACAGAAAATGTCTGTGTATACTACTCCTTGGTGGGGGCAGTTGTATGGTGTAAGTTTACTGTTTATCTTTCCTCCTCCTCTCTTGCTGCAAAGGTTGGGTCCCCAGTTCCACTTTCCAAACTGGAGCTCCTAGCAGGAGCCCCTGTTGAATAGTGCCCTAGCCTTTCCACCTTCCCCCTGGAGAGGAATATGTTGGCTCTTAAACAAATCTAGAAATCAGGCATGCCAGAGGACCCCAAATATAAGAAAGGAATCTTAACACAAGGTAAGTGATAAAGTTTCCCCACCCAGCTACCCTAAACTGGAAAGTAAACAAATCTGGGCAAGAACTTCAGCCAAGTGGGATCCATTTCTGAGCCAAAAAGTCAAGGTGAAGTTTGGGAGGCAACCCCTCTGCCCCCTAAGCCAGGACACAACTCACTGCCCAACATTGCTGCTACCTAGGAGCCCCAGGGGGCCTGGGCAACTCTGCAGGAGGCCTCGTGCAGGAAGGAAAAGCTCCTGCCAACCGACATGCATGGCTCTTTTTAACTGTCTGTTGAAGGAAGACATGGCCTCCTGAAGAGGGAGGATCCAGACTGCAGAGCTCCTGGCCTGGAGGGTTAAAGCACCGCATATAGGTCACCAAAGGAAAGCAAGCAGCCACCACCCCAGAGGACTGTGCAGGCCAGGAGCCCCAGAGGTACTAAACCAATGCCCTTGTCTCCTCACAGGTGGATGGATAAGTTTAAGATCCCTTTCCAATCTAGATGTAGAATCTTTAGCACACCGTTTTATGTGATATTTGGACCGAAATTTGTAGTTTCTGGACTTGGTACAAAAAATTTTAGCCACGAATGCAAGTAAGAAAGCTGGAGTTTTGGTTCAGCCAGCTTAGGTCCCTCCTGACCCCAATAGCTTCTTACTAAGTTTGATTGTTTATGTGTTTGTTGTTGACTTTGTGTGTTTGCCTTTCTTGTGCAGTATCTATATGCTGCTAAACCCTTAATGGGATTTTACCAAAAAAAGACTCTAGAAGTTTATAGAACAGAGCTTGGAATATTTATAAGTTCAGTGATTTGTATCATGCTTTTATAAAGAGAAAAAACAAAAACACAACTTTGAGCTGTAGTAAAATTAGGCATCTGATTGTTTCCTTTTAGACACAGAAGGCTTCTGACCTGGCTGGCTTCTTTAGGATTTAGCATTCATTTAAAATTTTATGAACCCCTGAAGGAATAGAATATATTTTCAAAAGAGACAGCTTAATCTTTTGCCTCCTTCAAAATAAGTATGCAGAGAAATTTAAAAATGATTTCCCTTTGATTTCACGTTTGGTGAATTGAGTTCAGGAAGAGGCAGCTGCCACTGTGGCAGGACCGTGTGTCCTGCACCATGACTACAGCAGGCTGAAAATCCTGGACTTCAGCCCCTGGCCCATTATGTGTAATTTTCTCAGCTTCAAATTAGCCGCATCTAGGGGATATAATGGTTGAAAAAGCAGGTCATTTCTCCCACCTGTTCCAAAACTGCTAAGGGTATCAATATCAGGATTAGATGAAAAGAAAATTTTTGTCTTCAGTGCACCCATAAGTGAGACTGTTCCGAACAAATATCAACAAACAGTCCATTATGATTTCGTCAGGAATGCTCACTGTTCCTTTCAGAAGCTCAGGTGAGTGGCCTCTGTTTTTAATGCTGAGAATGCAGTGTGCATAGGACGAACATGCACACACATACCTATAACCTTTTTTCAGATGGTCTGTGGATTTATCTCCCTTCTCCTTCAGAGGTACAACCCATACTCTTATCTGCTACGGTTGCTACACAGAAACAGTTGATGGTCTTGATTGCCGTCCATTCACATGCGAACTTGTTTCTGCGGCTGTTTATTTGAAAGTTGCAGAATTTTAAGAAATTAAATAAAATTACAATTCTTGCAGAGTAGGTATATATTTCCCAGTACGGTCAATTTTAAGCTTGTTGCAGATGTTACCTTTTAACCTATCTGCGTTGTAATATTTGTAACACTTCAGTGTTTGGCTGTCCAGTGAGAATCTAGAAACACACTGGTTAATTGGGTTTTGGTGGATGTTAGTGCGTGATTTTCAGTGTTCTTTCTTGTTTTTGTAAAATTCCATGTCTAACTAAATCATGCCATTTTTTTTCTCTTTATTATCTAAAGTGGCTTGTAGGAGGACTTTCGACCTCAGGAACTCCTCTCTTAATGACTAGCGATTTTGTTTTACAAATTGAAATGATGTTGTTTGACTTAAAAAGCTGAGCTGTCTACTTGTTTAGTGCAAGGATGTCAGACTTGTGGTAACAATCTCTAATTTCTGATCTCTTGCTCATCTGACTGTCCCTTTAGTGCAGCCTGTCCAGACTTCTCCTGGAAGTTTCCCTTTCTCCAGCAAAAGTGAAAACATTTCCTTGAGGAACAATATCATCTGTAGCTTTGAGAGGGCTTTAGTTCCCCTGCCTGGGACCCAGTCTAGATTTAAAACCTTCACTATCTGATTGACACATTTTGTTTTCTTTTCTTTTGTTAGTTTTGAGATAGGGTCTCTCATGTAGTTCAGGCTGGTCTTGAACTCACTGTGTAGCCCAGGCTGGCCTCAAACTCACAGGTTCTCCTGCCTCGGCC